CTTTGATATAGTTTTACCTTTTTCTGAATTTCGCAGATTTTTTAATAAGATTTTAATATAATTTAACCAAGTTTTATTTTTATCATTTAGACGTTTGTGTAAACTCTAGATTTCGTCTAGCAACCTTAATTATATTAGTTCTAATTTGTGATTTTTGGTTGATTTTAGGTTGTTAAATTAGGTTGATTTTTGGTAAATTATGTCTGATTTGTATCTGATTCTAGTTGAATTGTGGTTAAATTATGATTGATTTTAAGTAGTTGAATTAGGATGATTTTTGGTCAAATTATATCTGAATTGTGACTGAATTTAGATTGATTTTAGGCTTAATTTTTAGGTTGAATTGTATCTGAATTGTTATGTCTGAATTGGTCCTTTTGATACTAAATTATGTCAATAGGAATTAAACCAAATTTATTACAATTCAGCTATAATTCAGACACAATTCAGCCTAAATTCAAATACAATTTAGATATCTGATTTTTGGTCAAATTGTATTATTTCGACTAGTGCCAGTCATATCTATCCTCCTTTTTTTTTATAAAGTGCTAATGTTCTTAATGTAACTATCAATAATAATTATGGTGGGAGATCAGAAAAACAACAAAAATAATTATTTTTGTTAGTATAATATTATATAATTATTTTAATAAGAAAATGTGGCAAAGTAAATAATCAACATGTTTTACTAAATTGATCTACTAAAGAAATTGCACAAACAATTATACAGAATTGATCTACTGGATGATTTATAAATTGATCTACATGTATTACGTGATATTCTTGACATTGTTAATATAGTTGACATTAATGACATTATTAATATTGTTAACATTATTGACATTAATAACATTATCAACATTATTGACATAGTTAGTATAATAGATATAATTTATTTATTTAATATATTTTATTTATTGTTATATGTAATTGAAAAGATATAAATACAGTAGATTTTAGAATTTGTAGAAAGTAAGGAGTTAGATTTCCTCTAGCCTGATGCTAACATTCTTTTTATATTTTATTTTTTTCTTTTATTTCTTGAGAATTCAACTCGACTTTATGTAATAATTCTCTAATCTTTATTTATTTTATTTTTTTATTAATAAACTGTTTTATTATTTACATCTATGAATCTATAAATGATAGCATGATATTTAACATCTGTATGATGTATAAGTCTTAGCGATAAGCTGCAATTTGAGTAAAATCTACAAGTCTGTGTGATGCATAAGTCTTAGCAATAAGCTGCAATCTGAGTGAAATCTACAAGTCTATGTGATACATAAGTTTTAGCAATAAGTTGCAATCTGAGTGATATTATAAACCTTGTGAATCTATATAATATTTTAAGCCTTCATAACAACCACAGCCATTATGAATCTTTGTGAATATACAAGTCTTAGTGAATTACAGTTTGAATACGTCTGAGTGGTACCAATTATAAGTTCAGGACTTAGAAATAAATTAGTAGATTACAGATTACTACATACATTAAAAAAAAATAACACTCGAATACCTCGTTTAACTGTAGTGATCTACCAAAATCACATATTAATAATAGTGTTTTAATAGTTTAACAATTTTTGTGCATATTAGAAATTACAAACAAATATTTATTGTAAAACTTGAAATAAAACATTTTTTGAAATAATAAAAATTAAAAATTTGTGAAGTTGCATGAGAGTAGAATAGATATCTATGAATCTATAATTAAAGTCATATGATCTAACTCTAATTAAACTCTATAAATCATTTATACTAAGAAAAAATTTTGTAAATAACATATAATTTTATTAAAATTATTTTGTAAAATTCATATATAAAAATATATTTTTTTTGTATTTTTTGATATATAAAATAATCAAATTTTGTGAAGTTGTATAGGAAAATGCGTTCTAAAGACTAGATAGATATTATAGGTAAAGTCTGATATATTAGAATACTTGCAGTTAAACCCAAAGCCTATCTTGAAAGATAATAACTGCTCCTATTCTTTAGCTCTCTAATTTCTACTATTATTGTTATTACTATTGCTACTACTGCTATACATGAAGTCGAAATGAAAACCCAAAAAGTCGAAATGTTTTGACTTTAGAGGTCAAAGTCGAAATGAAAAGTCGAAATGGTCAAAATTACGTTATATCACATAATTTTTTATATATAGAAAAAACAAAAAACAAAAGATGTACGATCTTGGTCAATATCGCAACGATTCGTATGAAACAACTACCATTCGATTCCTCGCGACTAGACGAATCCAATGAGCTAACATTCATTGATTTTGAATCATCCCATCTCGAGATATTTGCGATTGTATTTCGAAATCCAGACTCCTTTATTTAAAGTATAATTTATTGATTTATAATTTCAACTGATAATACAATTGCGAGTATCTTGTGATTGGATGATCCAAAATTAATGAATGAATGTTAGCTCATTGGATCCACCTAGTTTCGAGGAATCGAATGGTAGTTGTTTCATACAAATCAGAGCGATATTGACTGAGATCATACATCTTTTGTTTTTTGTTATTTCTAAATATGAAAAATCATGTGATATGATGTCATTTTGACTATTTCGCGACTTTAGCCTCCAATAGTCAAAATGATTTCAACCATTTCGACCATTTTGGATATCCAAAATGATCCATTTCGATTTCATATATAGTCATAATATATATACTATAAGATCGGTGATATGATTTTCCTTAATCAATATTCGAAAGGACTGAGTAAACGAGGGTATTACCAAACGTGGTAAAGACTTGATTAAAACAATTAGCAAAGATAGAAAGAATAAAGTATTAAAAATTCGAAGGTAAGCAAATTCTTTTTAAAGCATTATGTAACATGCTAAGGTTTACTTAATCGTAAGCTTTGGACATGTCCTGAAATAAAATCCACAATTCTTTCGATTTAGACTGACTAACATCATATTTTATGTTATCCAGAATATAAATTGGATCAAAAGTCAAACAAAAAGGAAGTCTAGCAAAGTTGTATCCTTTTAAAATATTATGCTTTGCAATAAACGTTTGTTGATAAGTTTAACTAGGGTTTTATGTGAACATTCTAGTAATGTAATTGGTTGAGTGTTATTAAGGTTATATTTCCACAGTTTGGGTTTTGGAATAGGGTAAACAAAAGTGAGGTTCCAATAATCCAGTGTGAAAGAAAGGTTGAGACATTTACAAACAAATATCCAAAATACTTTTCTCATTTTAGGACTAAAATTCTTTAGCATTTCATTTGAGATTTTGGATGGATTGGGTGCTTTATCAGTTGGAAGAGCTAAAATAATATGATACCATTCCTTTTTAGTAGGTGTAATCATAAGATCATTATAGATATTAGGATCAATATCATTTATGGGATTATACGAGGGAATTCATTCATTAGTTATATTCACCTCATGGTGACAAGAGTCAGTCAGTAACTTGTTGGAAATGTCAAGCAGTTCCTTGTTTGATTTCATAAGCAGAAGTGAGTAAGCTGAGATTTCGTTGAGAGTTATTAAAGCATCGATCAAGAGTTATAACTTTTCTTTCTCTATAAAGGATTGAATCAATCATTTTAGTCTGGTTTGTTGAAAAGTTATTCAAGTGCAAGTCTAATAGATTTAGATTTGTATTCTTCTTCTTCTGCTTTGACTATGACAGTTAAAGTGTAAATAAGAGATCTAATAGTAAGAATGATTGCATGAATTGCTGATGGTGTTCACACAGTAATTGGCAAAAATTCAAATTTTAAGGTTGCTGCAATTTTAACTGTTCTGTCATAAATGTTGGAACATTGTGTAGGGATGCAATTGGATATAAATGCTTTTTTAGAAAGCTTTTCAAGTTTTTGAGCTGCTTTTATTTGTCAATAAACTTTCTTTAAGGATTTAGGTCTGAGATCACGTGAGTGCTGTGACGAACGGTGAATTGAAATACATTTTTCAGTAGCTTTTATGATGCATCCTTGAATCAAATCCCAATAGAAATTCAAAGCTTGTTTAGACTTTAATTTATGCTTATCCAAGGTTGTCAGTTGGCAGGAGATAAGAAGAATATCAGTTTTATGAGTAAAAGCTGACCAATCATCACTCGACATATTGTTATATTAAAAGGAAACCTTTTTTTACAGGGGTCCTGGATGTTGATGTTACAATTTCTGGGATAAAAAAGGAAGTTGTAGTTATCACATGATCTGATAGGTTATAGTCTATGTCAATTGTAATTGCATCTTGTAGATTAGTTGTTAAACCTGTCAAACAGAAAATGTGATTAATTCTTGAAGAAGTAAGACATATAATATTATAGAAAGTGGGAAATCAAATTAGTATTACTATGCAAAAGATCACATGTATTAAAAATGTTTGCATTATCCAATTGATCAAAAAATCTATTAGAGTTGGATTGATTAATAGATCGATTCAGTACTGCATTGAAGTAAAACTGGAAAATCTTTATTATATGTTACTGCTATAATAGATATTTGATCTTATTTCTGCAAATCAAGATTTTTTATAATTAATCAAATCAATTTTACAAGCACTTTAAAGAAACTAATAATAATGTGAATTATTATTTAGCCAAACACATAAATAAATTATTTATTAATTGAAAGTTTTTAAAAGAAATTCACGTGAAGAAGACATATTAAAAAAATCATAAATTGAAATGGTTTCATCATCTACTAAAATCAAATTATCATTTAAATTATTTACATCAGCATATAAATGTATACCTAAATAATAAATTACTTCATGTGAAGTAATATGAATTGTAATATTTCCTCCTATTGAATTTTCACATGAAAAAAAAATGATGTGATACTTGTGTATAAACCTTAATAGAAATATATAATAAATTATCTAAAAAGCTTACAGGTTTTTCAATCCATGTATGTCATTGTCCACATTTTTCATACATTGCAATAACTTTTTCTAAACATAAAATTCTATTAGAATAGATTATTAAAAATCCATTTTTACGTAAGGGATTAATATCAGAAATATTTGCTAAACCAAGATTTGTTACTAAAAATTAAATAAATAATAATTAATTAATAATATCAGATATATTTTCAGATATATTTTTATAATATAAAATAAAATTTTTTACCTAAAGTATTGTTAGATAATATTTCTAATCTTTTTCTTCCTTCCCATCGATCTTGACATTGTCGCCTTTGATTTTCATTAGTATTATCTGCTGTTATTTCAGTAATAAGTTTATTAATAACATTTCCACTAATTTGATTATTATCTTTATCTATTGTAGTTTGATGTGAATACTTAAAATTATTTCTTAAGTTACGCAAAAATGCATTATGATCTTGACGAATTTGTAAAAGAGTTGTAACATTTAAAACATTATTTGTAAAAAATTGTTGAAATAGATGAAAGTAATAGAAATAGGTTGATGCTGAATAATATATTGAATATCAGGAAACTTTTCAACCGATAATAATTGTTGTATTATTTTATTATCATCATCATCATCATCATCATCTTCTTCTTCTTCATTATTTAAATTTTCCTCTTCATGTAATTGATTGTTTTTATTTTTTGGATTTGATAATATGCGTGTTACTTCTAAAGCTACATTACCAATTATACTCAATTGATTTAAATCAGTTTTGTTAGTAGAAATATCTATTAATTCTATGTAATAAATAAATTATTAATTAATTAATGAATTAATTATAATAAATATAATAATATAAATAAAAATTATTTACTATTTAATTTATCATTTTCAATATCTTCATTTACTATTCTTTCCATATATATAGTAAATTCTAAAACTGATTCTTCATGAACATTTATATGAATATACTTCACTAATAATGTAGCTTCATTAAATGCAACTCTAGTACATTTTTGTATATCATCAGTAGTAGGTCATGTATGAAGTTTTTCAATGATTTCATGTAAAAGTGATGTACCGTTTATATCAAAAACATATCCTAAAAATATATTTTATTATAATTATTTAATATAATATTTAAAAAAAATAAAAAAAATAAATTATAAATACCTGCTGCAGAATTGCGTTCTCTATTAGTATCAATTATTCCTGCTTGTGAAACTTTATCACAATATAAAACTCTTTGTTGTATTTTAAAAAATTCATAAAAATTAAAATCAGGAAGTATTCTTCGTGAAATTCCAAATGTATGCTCTAATGCTTCATTTCCATGTTTCTATGGAAATAAAGGAAATTGTGAATAACATTCACAATGTGCTATTACTAACATTACTAAAGATTCTATCATACTAATAAAAATATCATAACTTTGATTGAAATAAATTTTTTTTATAAATTATACCACCTTGTTAAATATTGAATACTACAACATTCAATATAATTTTTCCATATATTTAAAAAAAATAAGTACGCAAAACTATTTCAATATGCGTTTTATAATCAATCATTCTACTTAAATAAGCATCACATAATTCTCCTATAAAATAGAAATAAATATTTAAATAACTGATTTAAAATTAAATTAAAAATTATATAAATAATTACCTAATATAAATAAATATACAAAAAGCCCAACTGTTTTATTAGTTAAAGTATCATCAACTGGAATTTGTATCAGATTATTTGAATAAAAAGTATGTAATGCAGCTCCATCATCTTGTTTATTAACATTAAGAATATCACGTTTTAAAAGAAAATGTTGTGATTGATGTGCTAATTCAAAAAGTTGATCATATCGTACTATATCAATACCAAGTGATAAAAGTTTTGCTCCAGAAAACATTTGATTCCTAACTGTTTTTTTAGCATGTTTTGGGTCTTGAACTCAAATAAATGGTTTACCATTATATATTGGTACCTTAAAATGAATTTTATAAAAAAAATCTTTATATTTAAGAAAATCTGACGCTTCATTCATAATAATTGATTGTGCATTAAACTCAGATCTAGCACTATCAGCTCTAAAACTTAAAATATTTATATGCTATTTCAATTACTTGACGTATTAAATGTGCAATTTATTCAACTCCTTTATTGCTCTTTGTTGAATCATTGCTACCATCATTGGCGGAACTTTTCCAATAGGAACCTAAATAAAAAAATACATGTAATTAATCAGCTTTTATTAAATATATAAGATTTAATAATTACTAATCTTTAAAGCTATATCACGAACTTGTGTAGCAATTGCTTCACTTTTCATAATATGATTAATTCTAGGATGTATAGTACAGTGAATTCTTGATATAACGAATTCTAGGATCTGGATATCAACTTCGTTATAAGCTTATAACGAATTTTTTAAAGAATTTAATTGGCTAGTTCACTATAGTAAAGGTAATTTTAATATATTTGATTAAAAATTCATTATATCAAGGGTTCGCTATATCAAGGTTTGACTGTATATCTTCAATTACTTTAACAGTCATTTCTGAATGTGGTAAGGTTGATCCAGCAATATAATTAAGTTCTTCAGCATATACAAGTTTTTGTCGTAGTTTAGTAGAATCTGTCATAACTATAATTGGTCTATTCCAATTAATACTTGATACAATTTGTGAAAACTTCATAAAGTTTTCTATTACTAAATCAGGATTATTAATTATAATGAAATCTGTCCTACGAACTTGTCTACAGTATTTTAAAAAGTTAATAGTTATTAACTTATATAAAGTATTTAAATAAATAATAAATATTACTGAATTCTTTAAACTGAAAGTCTAGCAAAGGCTTTTCTAAAAATTTCATATTCACAGCTGCTTTCAGATAGCAAACTAAAAAAATGTATTAAATGTTCTGAGTATCAAAGTTCTTATAAGCTTTTACCCTATGCTTTTTTTCCTTAATTTGTACTATTAAAGCTACAAGTTCAGTAAAAGTACCATCTCTATTAAATGCTCCACTTAAACCAAATTGAGCAACTTTTGACTAAAATTCTGCATTATTATTCTCATTACTTGTAGCAGCCCAAATTTGCCGTAAATTTGTATTTTTAAGGAGTTTTAATAATAGTTCATTATATTAATGGCAGGGAGTAAATTTGACGATACTACTTGTTGCACACTCCTTAAATAATAAACATTTTATTTTTAAAAAATACTCATAAGAAATAAAATAAATAATATTAATATTAAAACTCACAACTTTGAGTACTTTATTTAAACATTTATTACATTTCAATTCTTTACACTTATTACATATAGTATTTCTATTATCTGTTTTTCTCTTACAATACATATGATATATCGTTAAAACTTCTTTATCTAAACATCAAGTTGCTTCAAACTCTAATGCCCTTTCAAATTCTTTTTATTGTTATTTATTAAGTTTTTTTCTAGTAAAAGGAGTACCTTCTGGAAATTTTTTTGAAAAAAGTTGTTTTGCAACAATTTCAGGCTTTTTAATACCACTAAAACAAGCAGGACTATTAACAATATAATTAATATGTTCTGAATCACAAAGGCTTTGACACATTAAAGCATTTCATTTTTTGTTTTTTTCATTATCATTATTTTCATTATTGACACTTTCCTTTGGCCCAGTTTTTGAAAAAAAAAGTTTATACTTGATTGATTATTTATATGATAATTACAATTATTACTTTAAGAATGTCTTTGAAAATTAGAAACTTGATAAGTATTACCAAGTGAAATAGTTATGCCACATTTACAAGAACTTTTTTAGTATCAATAAATTTTTGAAAATTAGGAAATGAGGTAAACCGGCTTTAACATGAATTATAAGGAAGTGACATTTTTTAAAAAAAAATTATCAAAAATCAGAAAAAATTATATTAAAGAGAATCGAACTATAATCGGTAACTTTTTGTATAACTTATATGTGCAAATCTAATCCATAAGTGGTTACTAATTTTTCTGCAAATCTGATAAAATTGAGAACTATACAAAATTTTTGTTAAATCGAATCTAAGATTAACCAATCATATTTTTTAAATTTATAGTAGTAATTGAATATTGTTGTGGCGGGAACATACAATAAAGATTGCCCAGTCCTGTTGAAGTCGCTTAAAAGTATAATGTTCATATTATTTAATCATGCTTGATTGAGAAGTTTGGTGACTGCGTCGAAGGTATTATTATGAAATATGAAATTAGAACTAGAAATATAACAATTAATAATGCAAAGTTAATATTTGTTACAAAATTGAGGGTTAATACAAATATATCATCCTAAATTACTATGACTAGAATAAATGTGATCGGCTAGGTATTTTTTAATAATAATTCCTACATCAAAGCCAGATTTTTGTATATTTTGTTTATGATTGAGAAAAATCTTATAATTGGAATCAAAAATATTGGACAAAGATTTGTTGGAAGTTGTGATGAGATCAGTTTCTTGAATACCTATAATATCTAAATAGTGGAGAAGGTAAAGTTGAATTAAAATTTGTTGTTTAAATTGTTGGGTAAAAGAATGAACGTTATGTGTAGCTTTTTTAAAATAAAATAATTATTAAGATTATCTTCTGGTGGATTATCATTTATCTTTTTATTTATATCTGTTGTATTGTTCATTAATTAAAGTTGTTTTGGTGATGGTGGATCTTCATAATTTTTGTCATCATAAAATGAAGACAATGCTAGTTTCACAAGTTCCAAAATAGGGATTAATCTATCTTGAGGCATCATTTCACGGTGAACAAGCATCCTTTACATTTGAGCTACTGCAACAAAGGCATTATTGAGTTTGTCAAAGCCAACACTTTTTATTTGAAGATAAAGTTTTCTAATTGGAGTTCAGTGACTTGGGTTTCCTGTTGACGAATAATGGATTTTGATGTATCAATTTCAGATTCTGATCAGAGTCTTCATCCATCTCATCAATTGGGTCTTTGAGCGAATTAGAGTTAATAATCTTTGCTTGTTCAGATGAAATAGAAGAGATATTAAGCACCGCTTCAATCGTATTAACTCTAGTAAGAGTAAACGTGAGATTATTATGAATATCAGCAAGCTATTAAGAGACATTATTGATCTGTATTAGAATAGCGTCAAGTTGTAATGGTTGGTATTTATTTTGGTGACGAACAATATCTTTTTCTGTTTCATCAGCCTAAGATCCAGACACATGAATACTATTATCTAATGTATTACCCTTATTATTAGATATATTATAATTATGAGCTTCTTTGGAGGATGGTTTATTTTTCAGGACAGGTGGTGGTTCAGTAAAATCATCATCAGTTAATTGGACAATATGTACAAAAGAGAAACCATTTGAACCAGGTATATTATATTGTATAAAACCACTTTTGTTACTGTTGCTATAGTTATTAGTAGGTTTTGAAGTAGGTTTTGGCTTAATTGGAGAGGCAGAATAATTCTTGAATTGAGCTGGTTGATAGCGTTGGTAAAGATTTTGAAATTGCTAATCTTTTGGGAGTGTACGTTTGTGTTTGCAGTTATGAAACATATGACCTGAAGCTGAGTAAATAAAACATAATTTTTGGCTGAGGTCCATCTAGGTAAGCCTTTTTCTATCAAGATAAATGGAGTCTCCTTCTTTGGTCAAGTCAAGTGTCTCTTGGTCAGGAAAGTATATGACTACATATTGAAGATTTCTATAAGATACTTTTGATTTGAGAATAACCCATGCCATAGCATGAATAGTGTGATCTATTCCTTTAAGTTGTCATTCGTTGGTATCCACTGAAAGATTGGTAAGTTTTAAGGAGAATTTTGATTTAAGGTGAACCTCTTCGTTGGAAAGTGCACATAGATCATATCTTTGAGAACAAAGAATCTATAATAGTCATTAAATTGAGACATATCAGTGCATGTGGCGAAAGTGATAGTGGCTTATTGCCACAAATTTTTAGTGATCATGATACAACATACGATTGTTCCAAAAAAGATAAACAATGATCAGATATTAGATTCTGTTATTATGATCAGAATTTCAGTAACTTTAATAGACATTTCAGGAGTGAATCTTATTAGTGGTGTAATATCTAATGGTAAAAATATGGTATTATCTAAATCAGAAATAGGGATCTTAATAGCATATTCAGAGTTATCTCGTGTAGTAAAACTGATACGGATAATTTTCTTTGTTGCTTCCTATAGGTGATTTCTAACTATAGAATCAGTGAAAGAAGGAAATTGTGGTCTGTTAAACAAATCACAAACAGTATTGCATTTTTCTTTATTCAGTTTATTGGAAAGAAAAATATCTGCTGCGCAAAAGGTGAAAAAAATAGGTGCTCAGTTTCGCGTTTGAAGTGAAGAACATTATTTCTGTTATTTTTGTCTAACACATTTTCGGTAACGTCAAAGGACTGGTCATAGTCTAAAAGTTCTTTATTAACTAGGAGAATAATATGTTCAGGTGTTTTGCCTTTATTGGTTGGAATAAAAGTTAAAGTACTTTCTACTTCCATTTTAGTTAGTGTATTAACATTCTCTAAAATTGAGGTGGAAGGTTCAGATTGCTTTTGTTGTTGTTGTTATTATTATTATTATTGTTCTTGAATATCGAGCTGTAGTCTCTTTGCTGGTGGTGAAGTTAGTTTATTAGTAACTGGCGAATTCGAATGTTTGCAAGTGTTAGGTTTCTTTGACTTGTTTGTATTTCTAATCATTTTTGTGAATAGGATGGAAAAGTTTTTTTTCAATTACATATAACAATAAATAAAATATATTAAATAAATAAGTTATATTTATTATGCTAATTATATCGAAAATGTCGATAATGTCTTCAGTATCAGTAATATCAATAATATAAATAATATCATTAATGTCAATTATATCAACAATGTTAATAATATTATATAATACATGTAGATCAATTTGTAGATCAATCTTGCAAATCATTCTGTTGATCAATTCTGCAAATTTCTTTGTAGATCGATTTTGCAGATCACTTTGTTGATCTGTTTACAATATATATTAAAAAATTCCTTTCATCTGGCCATGGTATGAGTTACTTTTCTTGACATTTTAAATACAAAAAACATATAAAAAATTAATAAACATTAAAAAAAAGATTTAATATAATTGGTAAATACAGTCAAACCTCTATATAACGATATGTCGTGACATATAGAATTTTTTTTTAAAAATATCATTATATCAAATTATACTGATATTTATATGACCTCAAGTATAGTGGGTAAATAAAATTTTATCAGTATATAAAGTTTTTAATAGTATCATTATATAGAATATCGGTATATAGAGGTCTGACTATATATGGAATACTTTTTTTGCGATAATCTATTAATTTTCATAAATCTGCTAAATCTGCAAGTTTCTGCTTAAAGTAGGAGATCACTATCTCAGTTCTTAATTATATATTTTTAATATAGGGATTTAACACTATTTTATTATAACATGTGTATATAATTCTGAATTATATATTTTTAACACAGGAATTTAATTAAAACTTATGTTAAATTAAATATATTTAATGTTAATATATAGGTGGTATGCTATTAAAATTGAGATACGAGATATAGTAAATCATATGATTTGTACCTCAATTTTAATAGTACATCACCCATATGCATATGATTTTGAATTATAATTTTTAATAGAAATTTAATATGATTTCATTAAAACATATGCAATTAAATATTTAAAATTAAAATCTCTTTAAAAACTAAAAATATATATAAATCAATATAAGATATAAAGTATATACTTATTGCTCATATTAAATAGTGTAATATATGCATCACTAATTTTAATATATGATGAGAAATCATAATACTACATAAGATTTTGTATGATTCTATTACCTTACGTAGAATTTCATTATAATATTTTATAATTTTATGAGCTCATAATCCTACATAGTATTTTACCTTAATATTTCATAAATCTTATGATACCGTAATCTTACATAAGATTTCACTGTAATTTTCATAAATCTTATGATACCATAACCCTATGAAGGATTTTAACTGTAATATTACATAAAAAATATGATCTGTAACTTACGTAGGATTTTATTATATTGTTTCATAAATCTTATGAACTTATAAACTTATGTAATTTTACAATGTAATACTTTGAAATATTATGAAAATCATAAATCTACAAAATATTACATTGCATTTAAATTCCCAGATGTAGCAAATATATTTATAGGGTTTTAAATATAACTTGAATCAAGTTGAGTTAGAATTTTAAAATTTTCTAATTCAACTCAACTTAATTCAAATTTTTTGAGTTATTTTTAAACTCAACTTGACTCAATTCATTAGGAATTCTAAGATCAACTATAAAAACCAAGACATAATTCTTCTATCAAAGATGATATAAAAGGTATATAAAGTATTTTATTATTTAGCAGTTAGGATAATATTAATTATTATATTGTAACAATAATTCAAAAAAGAAATTTGACAATTCAAGTTAGAATGAGAAGTTAGAATAAAAGAAATTATTAAAAAATACTTACAACATCATCACGATTATAATAATCATAAAAAAAAATAATAAAAATTA